CTTTATCAATTAATTCCAACAGTGATATCATTACCAACTTCATCTTCGATAGTTCCATTTTCAGCAGTCTCGCCTACCCATTTAGAAGCTTTCTTCTTCTTCTTTCTATTAACTCTTCTTTTTGCTTTACGTCTAGATTCAGACTCGTCTAATACACTAAATATCTCCACAATTTTCCTTGCAACTTGATAGGCCAGCAAATTTCCAAACTTACTGAACCTAACTGTAGCAACTCTATCATTGAAAAATCTCGCTCAGTCCAAATGTAATTTTTTTTCAAAACCCCATTAACATTGTAACTATGAATTAAAGTGCTTTGTCATCCCGTGACGCTTCAGAGCTATAAATAAATACAATGTACAGGTTTGTATGTTTTCCAATTTTAAGCCTTTATTTGGGAGCCATTTTTCCTCCAAATTCTAGAAAAAATATAAACGTTATACAGTAAGTGTGTCAGGGAGTGGCAGGCTTTTTCTTGATTAAATGTTGTAAATGACCAGTTTACCCTTGTACAAAATATCAAGATTAACTAAACAAATGGCAATCCAATAACTTTGAATTAATGCAGTCAGAACTCAATGCAGAAAGCGGGTCCTGCTGACAACCAATAATGGTCACATTTTTTATTAAAATTGGGCCAAAATGGCTCCCAAACAGAGGCTAAGTATGTATGAACCCATAATACTCATATCTATACACTCCCCGTGCGAAAAGTCCTCTTGTCGTGAAGTAAAAACAGTAAAAATTGTCAAAATTAAAAAAGAACAATTGCAATTTCAGTACTCATACTTTTTATTTTTTAACAAATTATACTCAATTTTTTTACATGTGCCATCCACAATTCCAAACTTTTAAAACTTTATTTGCCACCCCACCCCACTTCACTTAGCCCTTGTTTGACACCCATTTTATGAAAGAATTTGATTTGGAATAGTGATTAATGGAAGAATGTGTGGTTAAAAAATAAGGAGAATTTTTTGGTTTATGTGTAATATTATTTTATTAATAGAATGTGTGGTTGAAATGAAAAAAGAGAAGGAGAATGAGAAAAAAAAAATGGATGTCAAACAAGGGTTTAATCTCTTCCCCATCTCACCCCAGCTCACAATCTCAAATATTTAAAACTATATAGATATTGTTAAATAGTTTCTACAACAATCTTAATATCGTCTTTTTCAAATAACTAGCGATGTCAAAAAGGTTCGGGCAGCTTGGGCTCGATCCAAAAAAAGCCCAAGTCGGGCCTGCTTATGGCTCGATGACATCGAGCCGATGCTCGGGCCGAGCCCCATTTTGGGGCATCGGCTCGAGCCCGAACTAGCCTATGGCTTGTCACCGGCCCATGTTACGGGCTAAACCGAGTCTTAAAAAAATTTTAAAAAAACGCAGGCAGCCGTCTTTTTTCTTTTAAGATTAGTTGTATTTTTTTTATATATTAATATTTAGTTATTATTTATAATATGTATAAATTGCACAAATTTTTAATACATTATAAAAAATTATAGATTTATAACGAATTTTTAAAAAAAAAAATACAAGATTATATTT